CAGGAATGCTATGCGCTTTCGAGGGACTGTTTAGCCGGGAATTTTTAGAGGTTCGAGCGGAGCTTTGCGCTTCAGAACGCTCGAGGCCATCGCGCATGGCGGAAGAAAACGTCGATCTAGCTTATGTTTCTCGGTTGACATATTTGAATTCCTGTCAAATACGAAAAAAATAAAGGCGTTTCTATTAGGGTAAAACTAGGTAGGTGATATGCGACTTCCAATTAGAAGAAAATTGTCATACAATACGATTAGATCGAAAGAAAGTAAGTAATTCCAAGCTTCGGGTCGATAGCGCACGTATTTTTCTCGCTGCATAAGAAAAAACGGCATCTCATCTACATCAAATTAACGCGTTGCTTTGTATTTATACGGTTATTAGAGTTAATTAGATGCACTCATCTGGCGAACCACTCTCTGTACTAAGGATTAATATTTAATTAACGGTTGAAAGTGTATTGACTTCACCCCGCCATTTGCGCCTTTTCTTTTCTGTTTTTCGTTTTAACACATTAAGTCCGACGCCATTTATATGTTCCCGCGGTGTATTAGTTAAGTGAAAAGTTAAAAATAAAGCGAAAAGCTCCGATCGAGAGCGTTAAAAGTTTCTGCGTAATGCAAAATCATGAATGTCGTAATGCGGCCGGATAGTAGATAGCATTACCAAAGCGATATCATTACGCTCGCCGCCATCGCTGGGCTTAAAACGTCAACGAAACTGTCTGTGCGAGCAATTAATTATGTAATATAAATATGAAAATTCAATGTATCGCGATATTCGTAATGCGGCATTCCCGACGGTTTCCGTTGGTTCAATAAAGTTTCATGGGACGGTAAATATCCGATCTTTTTGTCGGTGAGCAAAATGAATTTGTCAGTACATGACTATGTATTCATTAAAATGAGGGTCCTTATAACTGTAATAATAGCATGCAGCTGTACCTCACCTTTTACTTAACTGAAATTCGAGTTAATTATTGACAGCAAATCAACAGAAATTCACATTTCAGTGCGACGAAAATGCGTATCAACGATATGAAATTTTTCTACTTGAAGAGCTGTCATACAAATGCGATTTAAATTATCGAAACAGTTGTTGTTCTTAAATAATATTAAAAGGTTCATCATTTGATAGAAATAAGTCTATTGTTGGGATGGAATTACGGTTAAATAAAATTGAAATCTAATAAATTAAATTGAATGGAAAGTTTAACGAATAGTATCAGAGATTCAGTTCAAATGGTTAAAGCATCTGTAGTGTTTAAGTATTCTTGACAGGGTACAAAAATTTCAGTATTTAAGAAATTTTTTTAGAATTACCATTAGCACAAAAATTAGTAGTATCTGAATTTTGAAGAGGACACTTATTCCATACGGAAATTAACCACTTCCTAACTTCTGAACGAATTAGTAGACGAGACATTAATAAAAATATAAGAATAATACAGAAAATATCAATGATACAAGCCAGAACCTCCTAAACATGGGTTGAAGACTATGTAAACGACAGGAAAAAACTGAAAGTCTAATCTAAACAAAGAAAATACCATCGAAACAGCATCCCCCCAGCGTATTCCAATAAAAACAGACAGAACACCCTCAAAGGGCCCGAGAGTATAGCAGACACATTAAAACGCTTCAACAAATAACAACCCCACAAAAGATTGATACCGGTAAACACATACGAACCGTTCCGTGTATACGAACCTAACTACAAAATTCAGATTGCTTAATGGACCGATTCGACAAATACGTTCCCTCTTTTCACCGTGACACCCTCCGCGGCCCTGGGTTGTTTAAGTTAAATACGTCGAGCTGCGGCGCAATTTTCAGCAACGCAAAGAGAGACGGTCGCTCGGAGTTATAAAGGGCCAGACTCTTCGGCCACCAGTGAAATTTTCATTTGACCGAAGTCCTGTGCGCGTATGGAAAGGTTCTAGGTATGTGTGTGTGTGTGTGTGCGTATCGCGTGGTCGACAGGGTGGGGTGTCATCGAGGATACTCTGTCTCTTTTTGTCCTTGGCCGAGGGTAGAAATTGAAAAGGGAAGAGGCAAAGAGAGAGAGGGGGGATGGAAGGAAGGCACCCACTATTCGAGTATTATTGCGGTGCTGGCTGCGTTGGAGGGGCGAGGACGGGATATATCAACGGTTGGCGTTTATGTGGCGACCAACTGTCGAGTTAATATTCACGCGATTCAAGCTTGACCCCCCTCCCTATACACCCTTCACCCGCAGAACTTACTTCCCCCTGCACGAAGCCGCGAATTTCTCGGCTCCAGACTTTTTCCTCCCTTCGAATTACCTATCCTCGATCCCTTCGCTCCCATTTTTTTTTGTTCTGGGAGGGGGGGGGGGTTGGATACGTTGGTCGATGGCACGGCGAGGATCGTTTCGTGTATATTATGTTACAGGGCTCGTAATAATCGTGGGATCCGCTGTTCTAGGCGGTCTTATCGCGTAAATTGAGATAAATAAATAAACATGAGCTTGATGAATGGGCGCCTTTTTGGTAGGATATTGCAGAGAGCATAACAGTTAGAGGATATATTAGTGTGGGCGATATTTATTGTATCAGGTGGCACGTGTTAAGGTGCATTCAAATATGTCTAACTTATGACCGTAAGGTGAACGTGAAAATTTAAAAAATAACGAAATTAGTTTTTAAGATGTAATGGTAAACTAATGTTTTACGTTAATTTATCGATAGAATCTTATCTTGAACCAGATAAAGCAGAGTCACAATATCGACGATCCTCTAATCATTCTGAGTAATGTATAATTGCCTTGATCTGATGGTAAGGGATGTCGAAAACAGGCAACATATGGTATATGAATTAGATAGAAATGGAAGAGAGATGGTTATTCTGGGATCAATAAAAGAAAGTAACACTTCCGATGACCAATATCACCTTCTAAATATAGGTACCTTGGTTTTGTAGAATAAGATGTCGGGAGAATGCAATAACTGTAGATGAAGCTGCCAGAGAGTACCACCTTATTCAAATATGCATGTGATGGTTAGGCAAGTAGAACATGCCTCATCACCGTGTAAGTAGAACATACCGCTTTATAGTCGGACAAGTAGACTAAACCCTTGACAGACAAACGAACAGAATATATCCTGTATGATTAGGTAAGCAGAACGTACAATTCGCAAGTGCGCAAGTAGAATATTTCATTCACGACCAAACAAGTAGAATATACCATTCATGATCAGACACGTGGAATAGACAAAGCTATTCTGTGTGGTTCCCGAGAAAATATTGGGTTTGATTGCTATTTTTCCTAAACTTTTATATTAATAATCGATAGTAGTATAGTATGTGTCAGTAATAAAAAATTTAATTTCTGTGGCCTTTGAACAGTCCAAAATGTATGAAAAGTATTATATGTGGCTCTCGTTATCGAAGTACTTGTCCACCCCTGGAATATGCCTTTCATGGAGTGGCAGATAAAATATGCCCTCTATGGTTACGTAAGTAGAATACGCCATTCTGACAAAGCAAGTGAATAATTTCATTCGTGATCAGACAAGTGGAAAATGTCGTTTATGACCAAACAAGCAGGATAGATCGTTGAGTGTCGAGTCAATGTATTGGGTGTACCAATAAGTAGTCCACTATCTTTTCTGAAATTCTATATCCGTTTGGAAATAATTAAAATTAGGATAAACGTACCAATTAATGTACACTTAAAAGATTTTCCAACTACTGAAATCAAAATTTAAATAATATTAATAGAAAATATGAAAATTTCTGTTACAGTACGTATGGCGTATGGCCTACTCTATGGCATGGCATCGCGGGACATTGTTCTTTGCTCCTTCCTCGCCGCCTTCCTCTATTCAACTTTCGGTAAGAGTCAAATGATATTTCACCGGGCTCGAGTACTCTTCACCCGATTACGCGAAGCGAACGAAGGACAATGAGAGAGAGAGAGAGAGAGAGAGAGAGAGAGAGAGAGAGAAAGAGAGAAAGAGAGAAAGAGAGATAGAGATAGAGTCTCGGGTAGGAGGACGGAAAAGAAGTTTCAATTGGCTGGAATACGAAGCGAAAGTTACAAGTTTTTAATCCCTACAAAATGATGGGAACGAAATCTCACCCGTTGTATCCGTAATAGCATCTTGCCGTACTTTTTCACCCCTCCCACTCTTCCCCTCGTTTCTGCCTCCTACGTTTCTTTGCTCCACTTTTCGGTAAGAATCAAATAAAATGCTTCTAAAAGCACTATCGGGAGTCCCGGGTTTCCCGTAAAAGCATTCCCGCGAAGGAGGTAAGCCAGAAATTACGTGTGCGTCCGAATGTTACGATTGTTTCGCACTCGAAAAAAAAGTTGAAAAAAAGAGCAACAAAGTTCACTCTTTAAGTGATTCTCTGTGTTCGTTTGAGGTGATTCAAAACGGGTAGGAGGAAATTAATGTGAGACGAACATCTTAGCAAATACATTCACTTCACGCCTGGAAAATAGCACCCATTCGCCGAAGGAAACAATTTTTCCTTCGTTCAGTAAAAATAACACAAAAACATTGTGCTTGAAACTCTACAAACTTTCCGGACGATCTAACGCTTATGGCTAGCAGTGTAAAATTTCTGTTTCTACGCATTTGAATCACTTTATACAGAACACCGTTAAAACCGTCGCAGCGACTGGTTCAATTTATTTAATCCACACGTCGGACGATTATTATCTAATATGGTGTCGGGAGCTCGCACCGTTGACACGGTTAATAAACACCTCAGTTACACGAAATACCCTATTTCTCCCCCTCTCTCACTCTCTCTCTCTCTCTCTCTTGTGGCTACTTTTTTTCATTTCACACCGAACGTCCACGCGTGGCACGCGACGAAAAGCGCGCGGACGAGACGAAAGAGGATCGAGGCTGAATAGAAACGGGCGGGAAAAGAATTATTGCCGCCCATAACTTTGCCCCGCGTACCCGTGGCTCGTCGTGAATCTACGCGCGAGCGATATGCATGACGAGCTAGATTAAGCTGGCCCGGTAAAAGAGATGTAAAGATTAAGGGAAATCGATATCGGGACAGAGGGGATGAACGCAGAGGAAGGGACGAGAGAAAACGTTTCCTCGAACTCGCGTAGATTTTCAGCGAAGATTTTAAGGGATAATATGTGTCGAACGAACGGTAGATTGGATGATTTACATTCAGATATATCTGCAATTAAATGAAACACTTTCCTTTGGTTTTCTGGGACTCTTTCGATCTATCGGGATCGATCGATGATGTTAAAATTTTTCATGATGTCCCTGTTCTCGTTATAGAAAATTTTTTATTTTCATATTCTATAAGTTCCATTAAAATTAAAATTTTTATTTTCAAGAACTTGTGTTTGTATGTTCTCATAGAAACTTGTAATGTGAGAACAGTTTTAAAAAAGTTCCACGATCCATGTTTTAAATAGAACCTTATTAAAAAGTTTCATAACTTTTTCGATTCTCAACAAATACTAGTAAACTACATTAATACCTTCATTTTATTGCATTCTTGAAATTAAGGAATGTTATAAATGCATAAACATCCGCAGTCTAGTGATGACCACTTAGGTGGGATAGAGACAGAGACACCAGCCACTAGCTGGACTTAGTACGCGAATGTTTTGGATATTTTTACTGATTCATCACTTTGGATGAGGTACATATATAATTGAGATGCTAAAAGTTTACATTGTAGCTTAGGTTTTTATGAAATGTAACATTGTTATAGAGATAATACGTTAACCAATTTATAACATAACACGGGGAGGAAAACATAGGTATTTGGAATAATCGAGTTTACATTCTGAACACCCTGTAGGTTGTCCTTTTCTCGTGCTTTTACTGGAACTAGTTAATTGTTCCTAGTATTGGATGTAATCCGCTGAGGACGTGGAATCGAATAAAAATATATTTCCTGTGTATCGAGGGTTACATAACGTCAAAAATAAACTGAGAACGGCGTCAAATTTTCCAAAAGTTTTCCACATACAGCGACGAGTAATCGAACACACTTCATAAATTTTTTCGAAGGTATAGTATTATTTAATAATAATACTATAGTATTTATTATTTAATAACAATACTATACTTTCGACAAAATTTATGAAGTGTGTTCAAATTCGTGCGTCACTGTATATTCAAAATAAAACTTATTTGACAAACGAAAGAAAAAAAGGGACAAAGTCTCGTATGAAAGAAATCCACTTCCCACCGTTTCAATAATTTTTAAACGAGAAATCAAAATCCGTTCGATTGTGCAACGAATTTCTCTCGTCTCCTTCCCCCTCCTTGGAACAATAGTCCAGGTAGAACACGAACGTAAGCTAATTAGATGTAAAGTTGCCGGATCGTTAATTACATGATCGTTAATTATGCCGGAGCAGGTCAAGCGATGCCAAAGTCCGAGCTCGAGCCCGAATTTCTAGCACTCCTGGAGAACCATACGGTCATTCAAGGTCGTGACGTCTGCTTCACCTGCGTCGTTAATCATCTTCAATCTTACAAGGTAATTGCATCCACGTGCCCGCCGTGTGTAATTAGTAAGTCGATTAAGGCCGTGCACACCCGTGCTGCATGTGTACGGGCGAATTCGTCAGCGGCGAGTGGCCCCACCGAATTCGCTTTTCCGTGGAACGACAGACGCGTGACACGGGACAGATTGGATCGGTTATTGTCACGACACGGTGAAGTCTAAATAAACAAGGTTTTAGACGACCAAGGTACCGTGGAAACTTGTCGGCGATATGACCAGAGTTTGACACGATACACACGGATTCCGTGTACGGGATCGACGTAAGCGAACTACGGATACATTTGTAGACGTTACAGGGTGTCGAAAAAAATACGGCACTGAATTATCATTCGGTAATCAGAGGACACTGTTTAAATTGTTACTGTTACTTTTTCGTTTTTCATTCATTGCTCAACACTTTGAATAAATAAACTGAATTAAAAGAAGTAAAATATTTAAAAATTATTAATTTCAGCTATTTTCTAATGAGAGCCTCCGAGGTTCTTCTGTATTATATCCTGATGAAGGTAAAACGCTTGTTTTAGTTTTTCATTAAAATATTTTTGTTTCATATTTAACTTTATCGATGAAGATTGTGACATACACACGGGTTTAGAAATGGTTCAGTATTATAGGTTAGCGTCTTCCATCATTAAATACGTTATTATTATTATAAAGTAAGCTCTTAAGGGATTAAGAATTAATTTGGAACAAACACTTTCAAAACGATGCAACTTAATAACTTTTCGAGTAAGTATTACGTCCTTTGTGTTAAGAGCACCTTCTATATTCCTAGGACATCTACCCGGAACGCGGACATCGGTCGAAAACAATGGCGTAACGGGATTATTGGTTCAGACAGCATGCAAATCACGTAGACGGAGGTATTCGCAGCGGTGTCCGTCGATAATAACGATATATACCTTGAAGGGTGATCTACATGTCGAAATAAAACTATAATCAAAAATGACAAAATTGTATAGGAGGCTCAATTTTAAAATTATTAATATTTAAAAATTCGGGTTAGAAATGCCTGAAAGTCGGCAATTTGCACATAAGTGGTAAGCGTAGTGCACTATGGTGCCAGAAAAAAATAACATCTTTAATCAAAATTATCGTTAAGATAATATAACTTAATTGATTACATGTTATTTCAAATAATCATGTTTATTTGATCAAAATGACTTTTCTTTAGATTATTTCTTTATTTTTATTTCCAATGAAATACTTGTACATTTTATTTTTTATTTTGTCAAATATTTATTCAAATAATTTCTCGAATACTCTCGAATTCATCGTAAAACTAATAATTTTTCACTTTCTATAAGATCACTCAAAGCAGAATTTTCGTTCACAAGCTACCCACTTTCTTCAGACATGGAAATATTTTTCAAAGCGTAATTTTATGCACACGTCTTCGCTTTTCGCTACTATATTGAATACCGAAGCAAAGTGCGTTCTGTCAAAGAATACTGGCACCGCTAAAGTTTCCCACTCTTACATTGTTCATGCTAAAGCGATAAGACCCGCAAGGAACAGCAATAGATCAGAGCGAGAAAAAGAAATAAAAAAGACTCTAGTCGAGCTTGAAATAATGCGACACTATAGAAAATCGACTATTTGAATGTACATATATGAGAGACGAGTCAAAATGACCCATATACTAGGTATTAATATTGAAATAGTGGAAAACAATTGTTAATTTCAACTTTATTTACGCAAAAGCGAATGACTTTATAGAAATTTCGGCTAGTAGTCAACACTCACGACAGATCTGCAGATATTGAGATTATAACAATGGAAAAGGTATATACTTAAGGTTGCAGCAAAGGGACGTACATATCACATATTTGCCTACTAGGTAGAGGTGTACATATGTTTTTTAGTAACCGTTTGTACGTAGGTTGCCTGGTTTCAGGTGTTTCTGCCCCTAATTTTGGATCGTTAATAACAAGACAACAAAGCCTCCAACACGATTTCTTCACTCTTGATTTTTGTTTTATTTTACATATAGAACGGCCCCTTCAATTTTCCTGATACCTGTAACGGAACACCGTGTATATACATGCAGTACGTGCGTGATTTCCACGGTCCACACCCAGTTCTGGCCAGGGACCCCCTTGCGGGACAGACCTGGCGAGTAATTCACTTTCGAGAAGAAGTCCAAGTTTGATTGCGCGACCGAATCGACAATCGCTTCTATCGCGAGATGAAACGTTCTTGGCGCGTGTTCAGAGGATCTCGTCCTCCTGGATTCCCGAGTATAGGACGGGGGGGAGGGGCAGTATAGAGTGGCGAAAGTAGAAGAACAGGAGGGTGGAGAGAAGAAGTGGAAAAAGCGAGAGGACGGAGAATCCGAATGAAAGAAGCCAGAAAGAAGGGACATAAATCAGAGACGCTAATATAGAGTACAACATGAATGGGCCTGATTTTTACGCTGCCAAGAGAATCTCTCGTTGTCTTGCTCTTCCTTTTATTTTTCTTTTTTTTTTCACTCGTCAGAGTGTAACATCGAGTTTAAGAAGGTACTTTAAACCTGAGACAGTACAACGATTTCTAATGAATGATCTACTTTTTGTTAAATTAGGCTTGCAGGAGTAAACTGTTCTTTTTTAATGAATTACTTTGATGTTTCGATAGCATTACAGCTAGCTGCATTAGGTGAATGCAAATATAATTGCCTTCGTATTTAATTTAGTATTATGGTTCCACTGTTACTTTATCGACTGGGAATTTTACTTTTGACAGAGAAATGGCTAAACATTGTAGAAATAAAGGGGAAGTATTTCGAGTGACGGATCATATAAGTACTGTTCAATATTAATCAAGACCTTCCACGGAAAAACGTTAGTAATAACTAGATAAGTGGTAGTGACTAGAATAATTAAAAAAATTATATTTCGCATAAAAATTGTAAAGGAAACTTTATAAAGGAAACGAATGAAAAGACATTTTACGCTTATGTTAATTGATAGTATGTTAATTAAGATTCGTTAATCTTAAGCAGGTTAATAATAGTTTACCTTAACCATTTAAATGAGTACCAATTGCAATCAAGATACTCGCTGTGAACGGAAGTCACTGTTCGCGCGAAATGAACGATTAGCATCGAGCGCCTATAGGAACCGTTAGCATGCGATGAGGATTTTCATCATTCATTAAAAAGAACGATTAATTACAAATTGCTACACACGACTAACAACGACTTAATTTCCTTCAAACCGAAACAAAGTACTATTTTACTGGTACAAATGTAGAAACTTTAGAATGAATGTAACATATTAAACAGAACACAAAACACATTTTTTTCTAGTAAACTGTTAATACATAAAGTAATTTCGACAATCATAAAACAAATCGTGGGACAAGAGGTTCAAGTTGATTAGTAAAAATTATTTCCTTCCAAGCCGTCTAGTTTTTAATATAGGTACATAATAATCTAAAAATAATATCAAGTTCATATATTTAAAACAGTGTATAGTTCATCATATAGGAGAATTATTACTAAGCCGAGCAGAAATGACGAGTTAACTCGTCTTCTCTAATTAACAAGTTAATTGATAATAAATATCTAGAACAAATATACTACAAACGGATGTCCAGAACAAATCGGACGCAATATCATGCAACGTTCCCGTTGCCGATTGTTCGCGTGAAGAATCTCTCCCGTCAACAGGAAGAGTTATACCGTCGTCGTCGGAGGGCAATCTGTCCCCGTTATTTATGCACACCTTAAATTCTATTGGATCAAACCTGTCTCCCCCGCCCGTGAAGGTCTTTTGTTCGCGATTTAAAAGGCCCCTTGAACCGTTCAATAGAACCGTCGTTTGATGTACGACAGATCGAGCACGCGGCAAGTATGCACTCGCGTACACGAGAGACCGATATGGGCTAACGTGCCTGGTATTGGAATTTGATTCCCAGAATCCAATAACAGTGTTCATTGACTTGTGCTCACGATCCTCGAGAGTAAATAATTACGTTTCACCGAGGCAGCACCGGGTGAATTCTCAGATTTGCGGTAATGAGAGATCACGATCCGCGCGCGCGCACGTGTTATCCCCGGAGTGGTTAGAGGACGCTGTATATTCCGTGATATTGGAGGCACTATAATAAGAGTTTGGACACGAGACAGTCAGTTTTTATTGGTTCGTCATATCTTTGCTATTTCCGTGGATTTTTAAATATATGTATCGTTTATTTCGCCTTCACAGCCCGAAAATTCTGAAATGGACTTGGTTTACCAAAGAAAAAACTTTTCTTACCACTCACACGCTCACACATGCACACAATTCCATCATTCTTTGTTTACATAATACACGTAACCTATTCGCACACTTATACCTTTATGATAGGTAATCTGTATTTGTTGATTTTTAAGTATATTAATTATACTAATCTTAATTGTAACAGAATTTTCAAAAAGTAAACGTTTGAAAGTTAGCGAAAAGATTTGTTGTCATATAATTCCAGTTTTCTATACTAATTAATCCAGTAGTATATAATAATAATATTGTCTTTATTACGTGAAATATAAGGGATAACGAAAGTGGTGAGGTGCAGCATGACTGCTCATAAGAAAATCTAACCTACAGCACCTATTTGACTCAGAACGATCAAATAAGTTTGTCAACTTAGCAGACCTCCGTGATTACATTACTTCAAACGTATACATTACATTGTAATAGATAAAACGCGTAATAATAAATATTACCTACTAAAGTTGTGAAATTTATAGAAAATGGCTTTGACCAACTTGGCTGTTGGCCGGCCCAATTGAATATGTAAGCATTATAAAGTTTGAACGCACTGAAATCTTTGACCCAGACTTCGATGGTACAATTCTTTTCAGCTAAAAATGACGGAAGAGATGGGATTAAAATACGTTGTCATATAAGCTTTTTCGTCTCGGTTCCTGTTCTTTTTTCCCTTGTTAGACGGTGTAACGTTTGCGTTACACGCCTTAACGGGCGTATTTGCGTTAGGATTCATGAATACAGAGGGATAACGGGAAGTCATGGTGGGAATTTTACGCGGCGAACAAGTTGTGCTCGTATGTCACTGGAATATACAATTCGCACATGTGCACACGGGTGATACGGATTCACTTTGTACACGCGAAAACCTTCTTTAATGCCCAGCCGAGACGTGTTTGAATGGAACCATAATCCAGGATTTGCATGGGGCTGTTTTTAAAAGTATTTGTGTGAAAAGTTACTGATTACCTCAGATGCCTAGGATTTTAAGGCAACACCCACCTATTAATGAACAGACAAGCCATTAATAAATAACGACATTACTATCAAAGGAAAGTGAATAGAGTGTTTATCACAGTCTTTGTATTCCATTTCTATTAACAGATTATGAAATAATTAATTGAATTTAATATTAAACAATTTTTCTATTCTATTAACCTTTAGGGGACAGTCAGGGTTTTAAATGACTTTCTATATTTTCCAGTTAGAACTCCAGTTTCCACTTTATTCCTGTTTTTATGTATTCATTAATAAATGGAATAAATTTTTATTTTATTCTAATGTTTTTGGTATATAGATAGGTACTATGAGTTTGCATGAACATCTACAGTCTAATAATAATGATGGGCAACTAATGGAAGTAAAGTAACAGGAAGTTTGATTAAATTAAATTTTCTATCGAGATTTGTTTCATTTACTTTGTTTTCTACGATCCTGAAGATGCCGAGGGAAAGCGCGTACAAAGGGGGAAGGTGTTTTAAGAGGGAAGGTTTTAGTGCTAGTACGGGAAGTAACCGGGATACTAACAATATTCGACAGACTTTAAAGCACCCCTATCTAGAGTTTAGTCAATAATAATACAATCATCGCGAAAAAATACACATTGCATATTTAAAAAATCTAGTAGTAACGACAATTACAATTAGAACAAACAATCAGAATTAAGGAAATGTCAAATTAAAGACAATTCGATAATTATTTGTCTGGCAATTTTTCATGTATCCACGCTACTCTTAGTTATATAACTCATTTAGACTATAATCATTTTCGATCTTATTGCAATCATAAAAGAAAAACGGATTCCATAAAAGCTTATAGTCATAAGTTCCTCCAACGAATAATCTACGATCTTTCATAAAAGTTGATTCAATAAGTAAAATATAAAGACAAAAAGCTTCTCATAAATAATCTATAGAATTCTACAGTTAATTAATACGTTGTCGGTCACGTCACCCAAATATGGGTGACATGTACATTGAGTGTACATGTCACTCTTGCTCATGTGCAAAGAGACTGGATTATTTACAGTGTCTCATACTAGGTGTCAAAACCTTTATGGAATTTCTATTTATATATTCTTCTTCTAATTTTATTTTCTCCTATTATATATTCTCCTTCTAATAATTTTTGTTAATTTTGAAATAAAATTCGCATCGTTGATCTACAATTATGAAAATGCAATTAGAATTATACCTAAAATAACAATATCAAACGTTTATACCACCGATAGGAAGCCATTAGACTTCACCGTGTTATATTATTACGAGGGCCAGACGTGTCACGGACAGATGGCGAGCCACCGTCCATAACTAATACCGTAATCCTAATTCTAAAACAGTTATTATAGTGTAAGTAACGCGGTATGTGGGCGGGGTCCGCGGTCTATATAATCAGCTGCTGAAACGGCGAAACGTTTCGCCGTTCCCAATTCCCATTGTACAGGTTGCCTGGATAAAGTCGGATTCGAAAGCTATCCTGGCCATTCATACGCACATGGTCGCACACAACCCACGATTGTCTGTCACTCACAACGGACATAACACGTGGAAACTGCACGTGACCAACGTCCAACCGAACGACTCTGGCACGTACATGTGTCAAGTTAATACGGAGCCCATGAGGAGTCAGGTTAGTATAATAGCATCAGATAACTATAAACTCGGCTTCACGTTAATGATACCCGTCCTGTCGGGAAGCTTCCGTCCCTTTTTTTTCTCGTCGATGTGTTTCCCTGACTGTTGGCGAGCTGTGCCATTGACTTCTTCGAGATATTTTCTATTCGGGAGGACTCCACGTGGACATGTTAATTGTTTGAAATTATTGGAAAAATGACATTTAAAGGGAAATCGAACGAAACAGATGAATGACCGAAGTTTTACGTAAATCGTGCTTCTAATGCCTGATTCTTTACATGTTTGATTCATCGAATGTCTATATTCCTAAATGTTCAGATGCCAGAATTTCTGAATTTTCGAATGAACGAATATTTTAATCATGAAATATCTGATCATTTTGAATGTATGAATCTCTGAAGTTTCTAATGCCTGAGTCTTTACATACCTGAATCTTCGAACGTTTAATTTCATAAATCTTTAAATATTTGAATCTATGAATCCTCCAATATCTGATTGTCTGAATCACCAAATATCTAAACCTTTAAATATTTCAGTCTCCAAATATCTAGATCTTCGAACGTTCGAACCTCGTACCGCCTGAATCTTCGAATTTTTTCACCACCAATATTAAAACACCGACACGAATGAAAAGACACTATTCCGTTACACTCGATTGGTTGTAATAACACCATCGCAGCATAAAAAAATATGACCACCAAACGGTCCAGAGATACCATCAATTTATTAAATATAAAATTTCACGTTAAACGGCGTACGAAACAACGAGATCGGAAAAAAAGAAAAAAACAGAAAAAGGGTACCTACCATATTATTCCTTCCTGTTGTAGTCCGTTACAGTTACAGCCTGGCGTGCCCAGTCAGTATTTTTCCGGCGGTAAACCTAGATTAAAAGCAAGTCTCCGTCGAGCAATCGCATTTGTTGAGGTTCGAATCCAAGAGTTTAAGCCTGATTTAAATGTCCAAAGGGAGTACAGCGTGGTCCACGCTCGGGATCCTTTTTCCCCCGTGCCAGCAGATAAATGGTACTATATGGCGGATCGGTAACGATCTTTTTCCACAGACGGGTCACATGAAGGTAGTGATACCGCCCGATATCATGGATTTGGACGACTCCGCGGACAACCTAACGGCTAAAGAGAACAGTGATCTGCGATTACGTTGTCGAGCGACCGGAACACCAAAACCTAAGATCACCTGGCGGCGGGAAGATGGCAGAAATATCACTCTACGTAGCGAGCGCGGTATTCAACAAGGTATTACCAAGATTTTCCACCACTATTACACTTGGTGTACTTAGTGAACGAAAATAATACCGACAAAGCCTCAAGACATTCTTCTATACCTCTAATTACCCTCATTAACATCGTAATATCAACCAGCCTGAACAATTCTTCTCCCCGTTTTTTCAACAAACCACAATGAAACTCAACCTCTCCACTGGCTCGAACTTTTCTCAAGCGCAATCACAAGTATAATGAATCCCGTGGTACGAGCAGGCTTGATCGATTCGCGAGTTAAGAATACGCGTTCTCTGGGTTTCGTTAAAATCGGGTGGGTCTATCGAACAAAAATGAAAAAAAAAAAAATGAAAGAGTCTGAAAAAAACAAGGGAAGCGTGACCCTGTTGGGTGCACCGACGTTCCGCTGGAAAATCAGCCACCCGATTAGCCTTTCTAACGGTGAGTGATGGATGTTGACTTTACATATATTTCCTCTTCGCCTGGCCCCATCGATTCGCATGCCCGATTGCAATATTCGGTGTGTACACTGGGTCGCGAAACTGTGCAACCACTCCGAGGTATCTATATCGGCGCCCCCACCGATTCCCACCGATTTTCCCCTGAAACGTATCACCGGGAGTACTCTCGTTGTTTCGGATCCTTTAATGAGTAGATCCATCCACGTCATTCCGCTACCCCTCTCCCCCGCTCACACCCGATCAAACTCAACCCCTTCGCCGCGAAGCAGCGTAATCAAAATCTGAATATTAAAACGGGTATACATTTAACCCTTAACAACAGACCACTCGTCTCGGTGAAGAATTTTAATTTTTCTCCTCGCCAGGACAACCTAGCAGTGACCTTTGAAAGCTCTAGCGTTTGATTTGCTTCAATTGACAGTTTAAGTGGCATACTGTTTCCAAAATGACATTCTGTGTGTTACTTTACCTTTCTTTCTCCCTTCCCAGTATTTCCCCTTGTGAAGCTTTCGTTTGAGCTTACGAACGCAATATAGTGGACTCTAAATTTGATTAACTGATTATAATTCCCAATTCTCATTAACCCTCGCACACCGAATACCGGGTCTATAAACAGTGCATCTCTTTAAAAGAAAACTATTTCCAATATTTGATGCTGAAGAGCATCATCATTTTACAAAAAACTGCTGTTTTTATTTCATTTCGGAACCTATTGAACGAGACCGTGTATCGAAGAAAATAAAACTTCAATTACTGACTACAGACTCCTCTCATAATAATTTTATAGAAGATTACCTTATTATTGGAGTTAAGTTTCCTGTATATGTTCGTTTTCATTGTTATTTAATAAAATATTTCATAAGAAAGTAAAATTCATTACAAAACCTACGTAACAAAATACACAGATATAACTGATTATGGATCAAAATGACCCCGGCGTTCGGTACCCACGTCGCTATAGGAGAATTCGGTGCGTGCCAGGGTTAAATTATCGCGACTCAAACTTCCAATTGCGCAAGAATGCCCGAACCCCTAACGAACAGAATTCCCAATTGTTCCTCTGTAAACCGCCCAAAATAATTCCCCCGCTCATTGTCCGGAAATGTCGCGCAGTGACATTTTACGAAGGGGGCCAGCTTCATCTGAAGGGGATCCAACGGCAGGAAATGGGCTGGTACCTCTGCATAGCGTCGAACGGCTTTCCACCGGCGGTCAGCAAACGATACCCCGTCAACGTTCACTGTAAGTGAAGCCCGCGAGAGAGCATGCAAACCCGCTCGCGTTGGTCCTCCACGTGAGGAAACTTACATGATTAATTATAGTTTTCTCGGTCCGCAGTTAAACCGCTGATTAAAGTCTTCCACCAATTAGTAGAGGCACCTGCTAACAGCGACGTCGTTCTTCATTGCTCCGTAGAGTCTTCGCCGGAACCTCTGAATACATGGTACGGGGTCGACGGTAAGGATTTTGCGCAACACTATCCAACAACGTTGAGACAGAGAATGCTGTTTCTCAATGTCCGTCGTCGCGTTTCGGTGTAGTAATCGTTGAATTACCCGTGTATGCGCGCGCGCACACACACAAACCTTCGAAAACTATTATCAGACCAGATTAGGACACAACGATGCTGTGGATGTTTCAGGTATAAAATTATTGCCGGATGAGAAACACGATCTATCGGAGGTACCGTTGAACGATTATGCATATCAATTAAACCTGACCATCAAGCGACTGCACAGAGACGACTTCGGTAGCTACACCTGTTCCGCGGAGAATTTGCTGGGGAAAACGGAGGGGACGATAAGGCTTCAAGGTAATCAGCGTTTAATTCCATTCTACGATTGCACTGTGCTCAACTGTGCCGTGCGACTCGCAGGTTATGGTTCGTGGACGAGACACAGCGGACTCGTGAAATTAGTCTGGTCGTTTTATGAGGTGGGGTCTAATCGAGTCACAACTTGGGGCCAGTTTCGGACGTTACAGTTTAACCTTTTAGCTACTATACGCCACTATAGTGGCTTTCCTCTAAGTGACACTTTTGAACGATACGTCATTATAGTGGCTAGCCTCTAAATGTTACTTTTGAACAATACGCCACTACAGTAAATCCTCGACAAGTGTAACGCTGACTTTTTAATGATATTTAGCACAGTGGTCGAACTTGGAATTCTGAAGCCAATAGCATTTGTTCCAGCCGAAGATGACAATTAGTTTATGAAATATTTAATGTTCAGTGTCGACGAGCCTGCGAACACTCATCGAGGATTTTCTGTATACTGATCTCCTTACTTAAAATGTCCAATCTAACAAATTGTCATTTTTCAAGATTATTCGAAATATTTGGATACCCATATGCTTTTCAATTTTTAGTTAAAGCTAGAATGAATGCTCTGCGTGCTCTTTAGGGCTTTCTAAACAGTCTAATTGATTTGCCCTAACTAGTTTTCAAATTATTCTATTGGTTTATGTTCTTCTATGTAACATCTACTAACTTAAATAGTCCTAAGTTATGACTTATGTTTATGCCTCAATTATTTATGTTTAAGATACGTGTAAAAAAAAAGAAAATAAATATCATTTAAACCATTTCCTATATTAAAATGGCCTACGATGAAAAACAAGGACGAACCAAAGAAAATTATAAAACCTTATTTTTCTTGGATATCTGAATATGTCAGTTAACAATAAGAAGCACGTAGATTGATTAACAAAATTTTTTTGAAAAATCGAGTTAGAACAATTAAGGACTCGGGTGACGATATGGCCATAGTGGGAAGGAAAGAATTAATCGTAGGTTGTTACTATCTGTTCATTAACACGCATACTGTCTCAGAATTGTATCTACCGAAGACCACACTAGCGCCGATCCGTTACACCGAATACGCGGACAAGTACGGACCAAAGAAGCAGACCGACCGTAGGGTCAAGCAATACCCGTTTGGCATGGACGATTCGAAGAGCACTGGGAACACTGGTCACTCGACATCGACGGTACGAAGGAACACTTCGAACGCTCTGATGGACCCGACTACAAAAAAATCAAAGGTCTCATCATACCCAGCGCCCGCCTCTGCCCCCGCCCATTTTCCGCCTACCCAATTGAACGGCCAGAACAGCGTGACATCGTCGCAACACTGTCCACGAAATTACGTAGGATTAATGTTCGCTTTCATAGTGATCGTTGTGTGTAGCTCATAAAGCCGATTTCTTTATCTCGAGTGTGTTGAATTTGGTGCGTGTGATACTATCCGGTTGATCGTCGAAAGCCGGGTCAATTGTGACCTGTAATACCTAATCTAATAACGATGTTTATTCGACGGGTCACCGGTGACCCAAACGGAGGAACTCGAGGGTTAATTAACCTTTTCGGTGCGGCTGTGTTACCAAATGGTCGAGGGCAATTGGGTACGGGATTAGTTGTCGTTATGGAAAGTAACAGATATTTGTTTGTCAGCATCTTTCTGTAAGACCAAGAAATAGAAAACGAATAGGTATATGTTTCGTTTCATTCTGTGCAAGGGTAATGAACTGTCGATTGAAGTCATCGATGGTTCTTAGATAAGTAATCGGCCGTTGAGTAATTGGTCGTCGATTATAATAGACGATAGTGCTAAAATGGTGAAAAAGTTGTATGTTAAGACTGGAAAAATTGGTAAAACGATAGCAGCTGAAAAAGGTATAGTATTTCCAATTTATAGTCGTGACGTTCGAGTCTGACGATGCGATTGTACAGACTCCTCTCGATTATCGTCTGGCTTGTTCTACACGATTATTGTCCTAGCGTTATCCCCACCACTGGTAGGGGGCGTGGAACCTGCCATGCGCATACTGTTGCCCTTCCGCTTTTCTTGTTGAGGCTCGGGCTTCGGCCAAAAATTGTATTTACGTCGGTCTGAAGCATTTCTCCCTATAAGATCCCGGAGCGGACCCGTGTTCGGGACGATAATCGAGAGGAATCTGTAGAGAGAAATGGACACGATTCTACGTTGAGTTCATTGGCTGACCGTGCACTGCCGCTATTGGCTAGTTCAAAGCAAGACCAAGCTATTGTGTACTATTGGTGGGCCGAGCGCAGTTGATGGATCTATTGCGCATACTCAGACAAAAGTTGGAATATAAACTTCTCCATCTTTATTAACACATCGAATGTCACAGTTTTTACTCTTGAGACAGTATTATGATATGATACGTTTGTTTAGGTCTTTGTTACTAACAATATAAGTATTAACGCGTTTACTTGAACACTCATTACTTTCATTATTACTTTACTAGTAATTATATGTATTTATGAAATATTAAATGTTCCTATTTCAAAATTCATCAATTCGTCAGTCATCGGTGACCACTATGGCAGTGAACGCGTTAAAAAGAGGACAACAGTTTCTAAGACTCACAATTAGATATTGTTAGGTTAAACAAAATCGATGGCGGTTCATTTGAATTAATGTGGCTAAGAGCAATTCTTTAAAAATTAGTAGTTTTTATCCGTTTAACGTTTCCTGATTTGCAGCAACAGTTTCATACGCACCAATCCAATACGAAAAGTACAAATTACATTTTATGGTAGAACGAACGAGTAACGAACGAGTATCGTCTTGGCTTCTGGTTACCTTAACTTCGCAGCCACCTTCGAAACACGTGCCGAATTGAGTTATCGCGTTCCGGTCAGAGTCGCGACGCTTCTCGTGTTCAGTGCAAGAATCATTCTTGTCAGACTATAGATGTTGCATCACTAACACGCATGTGAAATCGGAAAACACTCGTTGATGTGTCATTTTATGGTGTAAATAAAACGAACGGTTTTTATGACAATAACTGTGGGGCCGAATACGACAGGCCGGTAGCGTAACTAGTACCCGAAAATACTAACAGATTTCCAGGAATAAAAGTGTGTTTTATCTGTTTGGTGGTAATTTCGAATCTCGTGTTATCGTTAAAAAATATATATACATACATAATTGGACTGTGGGCATTTATGAATATTTATATTTTTAATGAACTGATTTTAAAAACCACTAATCAGACAGGCGTCTGATTCTTCGATTGAGGTTTCCGTTATACTGAACATGAAATATACAATATAATAATCGGAATAAATAATTGACTATACAAAATGTAAAATTCCCAGTCCTATTATAATATTTCTGAATAGATATTAATATGTTTATTTTATAACGTGTATACAGTAACGATCAAAAGAAAGTTCATTCGGTGCACAGGAAGTTTAGTTTGTAATTGTAATCAAGCTATTGTAGGAACACAATAATTTACATGGAAAGTACTTGTGTGAGAAAGAAAATAATTACTGTATAAAAACATGTTACATTACTACCTTTTTTATCATCTTTATATTTGTTACTAGAAATTAAAGTTCCAGAGATACGTTATTAGTATCGATATATTAAAAAGAATCTGTATAGATGTATCATTTTGCAAATGGATTGGGATGTAGTTTCAAAAATTATAAATAATTACAAGAACATGATCTTCATACTCTAATACAAAATGTATTAATGAGTATATTTGGGCATCCTATACTATACATATACAAAAATGAATAATGAATAAATGAATTATTTTCGTAAAAACGTTTACAGGACAAAAATTGTCATTCTAAATCGTACACAAGTAAATAAAATCTCTCTAAACAAGTTCCATTCATTTAAACAGCCGAACATTTCCAACTTCAAGATACAAACACGAATTGAACCTCCTCTTGATCGTCACTGCATCAACAAACATTCGAAACTAGCATCACAAATTCTCTTTGCCATCTCGATAATCCGCCAGGCAAACCTGTGTGATCAGCCAAACAGAGATTTTCGCACACTCGACCATGGTGATGTACGGTAGATCGCGTAAATGTATCATTCATCGATGTTAACACCCGAGTTGTCCATTCATGTATATATATATATATACCTATATGTACGACAATAAACGTTGTTTTTACCATATTGTGAACATTTTCTTTCAGTTCCTCTCCATCGTACTCGCCGCGACAGTCCACCGAGTCGTATGGAAACAATTGATCACCTTGGCGTTGTTTCTTTTCCTAATTAAAGAAGGTTTTCTAAAATTTTTGTTAGTTCATTTACGAATTTTTTTCATTGTTTCCATACGGTCCGATAGCTTCCGAAACGAGAAAGTCACTCGATTTAACCGAAACGAAAAATTGTGTATAATTTTGAAAATATTAATCTTCCGACCCTTGTTTACTACGACAATTTCTCATCACTTGACAAGTACTACCTATCCTAGAAGTTATGAACCCTTTTTTTGTTTCACCCTGTATATACCGCACCTTCTGCGATGTAAAATATTCATATGTATTCCGTACTTTTGTTGCTGGGCGACAGACATTGGGTTGCGCGTACACGTGTGAACGAGGGGCATTGCTAAGATGCAATAAACTGTTCCACATTAAACGAATGTCTACTGTATTAAGCAAAACCTTTGAAATTCTCTTTTATAACTGCGAGTTAAATACGTTAATGCAACATTGGGTCCTAATGGGTTAACGAGAATAACAATCTAGGGAAAAAGAAAATTACTTAAAAACTTGTTTAAAAAATCACGAGTGAAATGTTACATTGATTCAACGGTAGGGTCTCAATGGGTTAACGGGAACCTTAATATAGTGAAAAAAAAAACTACGACGCAAGCTGGCGGCTTCTTTTGATTTCACGTACAGGCAACTGATTCCCTTATCGCAACCGGAAATTGTACTCGCGGAACGAAGGATATGACCGCCCACGCGTTTCGGTTGTGTGCGTCCACAATCGAGAGGTATCAAGAGCAGCGTTCAGTTTAATTATACGATCGCACGCGTCGTCCGTCAGTGTGTCATTTTTGTGTCTCGCTAAAATGATGGATCGTGTACTCGTGTTTATTATTCTCAGTTTATTGGTTGACGTCACGACGACCGCGGATAATTGCAAAAGCGTGACTCGTAGGCGGGACAATTCGTTGATTTTTCGATGTAGCGAGCTGACAGAGCTGAAGGTGTTGGAAAAGGCGAGGAGTAACACTACTGTCATTGAAATCACGGACTCGAAGATACCTTATCTGCCAGGGTAAATGATCAAAAGTACAGTAACTTTGTTTGTTTCAAACCTAGTAATTAGCGTGGCATTTGCAAACACGTAGTTCATGCTCTTAAATATTACATATTTACCTTACAATTAGTAGGGGTAATAATAACATAATTAATAATATTAATATTACCTTACCAAGGGCGTCACTTTGTGCACCTACTGTAACTATGTTTTTGCAAATATCTCGTCAATCATTAGATTTAGGACAAATAAAGTTAAATACTTTCTTACAAAAAAATTAACTGCTCTTTCAAATTTTGTTACAAAAAGAGACGCACTCCACTAGAAAAAATTGAAGATCAGCTTGATATGTCATGAACAAATAGGTGATTTAAAAAAAATCGTTTCAACATCGTATGTCTCCTCCGATACCGTATGTACAACTTCTATATGAAACACTTTTTTGTCGAACACACACTATAGAAATTACTCGGAGTGGATAAGTTATGGGACTTGGCCTGTAAAATTAGAAAGCTACAGAAGTGAACAAATTCTGGGTGTTCATTTATTTCCCATCAACCTAATAAGTTTACTGAACTGAATAATGAACTACTTATCGGGTTATAACCATTTAAAACAATTTAAAATAAATTTCATGAAATAAAAAACATTGACAGCTTCGTAGATACTTGACAATAATTAAAAATTAAATTGTATTTGTGAATTCATTCACAGACATCTGTTCGCAAGATTCGGTGCCACTCTAGTGACGATCGATCTCCACGGATCTGGGATCGAGACAATTGATCAATTCGCGTTCATAGGCCTGACGAAGCTGGAGAAACTGATACTATGGGATAACAAATTGAAGATGGTGCCCAGGGACTGGTTCATGAACACGTACAGCCTGAAAACCCTCGATCTGTCGTTCAACTCTATCGAAGTAATCGACTACCTCGTGTTCCAGATGCTTCCCAAACTGGAGAACTTTTACTTCGACTACAACCAAATTAAATTCATCGATTACACCATGTTCGCGTATCTGAAAAACCTTAAAAATGTCAGGTTCGAGAATAACCCGCTGAGTTGGGGGTGAGTCCGATGAAAGAGTGAGAAAGATATTTCTGCTATGCCGAGAAAGCTTTTTATCGACTTCGTGCAACGAATCCACTGTATTGCAATATTCATCGAGTACTGCAAGACCCTGATTAACACTCAGAATACGATGTTACATTTAACAGCGATATTTTAAGATATTACCTGGAATGATATAAACGGAGACAGGTACATTAGGTGTAGCAATCCACTATGTTTTACCAATTTGGTATTTAGTTTCATAAAACTGAAAGCTACAATAATATCCTCACTTGTTCTCTAACATCCTCTGACATTGTTAAAATTTAAAAATAACTAAAAGATGTTTCGAGTATAACCTATTTTACCACTATTAATACGAAGTAGTGGATTATTTATCGGTACACCTAATGAATGATCGACTGACAAATAACGTCTCATGGTACTGCAATAATTCTTCCTAAAACTATCCCGAACCTTTAAAATTATAAGTAAATGTATCTTATTTTTTTTAGATATCAAAGTGACCTGAAGTTCTTTCAAGGTCAATGCATCTTTCTTTTAATACCACGTTGTTGCCAATAGAAGGACGAATTCAACGACTTATAGCATGATGGTATTAAAAAAAAGATGCGTTGACCTTGAAAAATCTCAGTCACCTTGATATCTCTCAAAATAGAAGATTATAAGAAATCAAATTGTATCCATCTGATGCGTCCCTTAAAATGCTATATATGTAATTCATTATAATGTTTTTTGATACAACTAATAGGTAATGAGTTATTTTAGATAGTACATAGTTCTTATTGACTCACCCTATACATTGACAATACTTTGCACAATTCACAGATACCGAGCCCATTTAACGTGGCAATTGGAAAATCAGCGCGTCAAGTACAGCGAGACCTGGGAGAATTGGGGATGGATGAACGTTGCCATCAAAGAGTGCGCGGAAAGCGGATACGGGGAAATACCGAAGGACACGATACTCGATTGCGTGGTCGCGAAGCTGCTCGACTTCACGCACGAAATATTTTCGACGGAAACGAAACAACAAAAGACCGAGTGCACCGATAATGCGCGACGGCTGGTACGTTGTATGAGACCTCAGAACGTCACCGATAACAGTGACAACGAGACCGTGAGAAGAATTCTCCAAGATTACACTGCCATTTTATTTCCAATGATAAAATCACGAGGACGATTTTCATCTCCGATTATTAATTAACAGTGAAAACGGAATAATTAAATATTACGTTGTTGCATGTATGTACGGCAATAAATTTTATTGAACAAAATTGTAATGAATGCAAATTATCAATAAAGATCCGTATTGTTGTTATATTCAAGTGTTTTCCGTTATTGTGTACAGTATCAGATATAAATAAATGTTCAACTGAAGTATCGAATGATATGTTGAAGTGTCATTTGTATTGTTTAAGTAGTACCACTTGAATATATTGGGATTATTATCAATTTCCATCTGGGATGAAGAAAATGTATTCTTTCAAAAGATAGATAACCATTCTAGATCAAGTTATAAATAAATAATACAAATTTTTATATTTTACTGTAGATTGAAATGAATTTTAAGAAAAAGAATGAAAGTTATTTTTTAATTAAGTTAAATAGTGGATGAAAATCTGGTTCTCCTAGAATTCTAAATTTGTTAAAAGTGAAAGAAACACTGCATAACAGTACATTTCACTTATTAGTAAATGTCTTAAATTGAAAAAATTATTTTTGGAAATTTAGATCTATTGTGATAATAGTGGAAATATATCTGTTGCATTGCGTAAAGGATACAGAATCTATTGAGTCCTATATTGTTAACTAAAAAGCAAAATTTATTACACTATCAATTGGTACTACCAAAACTGACATTTCCTGAGAAATTGATCCTCTGAAATTATTTGTTTGTAACAAAATAAACAGAAGTTAGGAACAAGTTATAGATTACATTTGTAAATAGGTTAACTTCGTTCATTTTATATGTATCTTAACCCTAATAAAATTCCAAATGATAAATCTGATTAATTGGACCAATACCCTTTCATGTACATATACAGAAATATTAACTTCTTCTTATTCAAATGAAAGTTGGGATTAGCTGACAATGTTCTTTATAAGAGACTTGCTATTAAATAATGTCTTGTTGTCGTGATGGTAAGACATGAAACTTTTAAATAAATGTTTATGGTAATTTATTGTAATAAGATATTATTAAAACACTAGTATGCAGGTGTCAGTCAGTTGTAACGATATGCCGACTTGAAGGTCCACGTTTGAAAATAAAAATACCTTATTCAGAAACAATCGGATATCTAAAGCAACGTCTCGCGATATTACTACAAGAAAAGCATCGAGATTGGAAACCGGATAGGATGAAACTTTGGATTCGAGGTTTCTATTTAGAAGACAATCGTACACTGTCAGATTACAATTTGACTTCTGAAGACCAAATAATGTTGCTCCTCGACAATCATTGTTCATTGTAATATAATGGGAAAAGTAAACATTATGGTCCTCAATTATCTGTCCCAATATCATTACCTTTTCTATTTTTCATTGAGATCCAAGTCCTATGGACAGATACCTATTTTTCATTTATTACATCATGTCTATTAACCAACTATACTTCAGTTAAATCTTAATATAATTTTTTACCTAACGATCACTAACAATTTTTATAAACTTTTATAATGGAATCCATTTGTTGCAAATGTGTTTCAAATTTAGAGTTTAAAATAGTTTTTGTGTGTCCGTATTACATCCAATTTTTTGGCTCTCTGTTGTAGCCTATCTTGTACATAGTTATCGCTTATATTTATTAGAAAATAGAAAACAATATTTTATAAAAATATACCTATTTATTTTAATCACATTGTACTCCTATAAAATAATTATAAAAAACTAAAAGTATTATTTTTGCGTACTTTATGATTTAAGTACGCGTGTGAACATAAAATAACAATGATTGTTTATATGTCTCATCTGTTTTTAAATTTTGCTAATAATAATTAAAAATGATTTTGATTCTCGTAGATTTTGATTATCCTGGAGTATGTTTTAATACTTAATTTACAATGCAATAGGAATGATGTATAGTTTTAATGATATTTTTATCGTATTAAAATTGATAGTTCAATATATTTTAATATATATATACTTTTTTAACGTAGAGAAACTGCGATCGTCAGATTTTCTATATTTCCTTTTAAAGTCAGAATAAAATCCATTCTTGTTCTGCATCTACGTCGATACATATCTTTATCATTTTCTTTTATAAATATCAGTTAAAAGTTTATTTCATTATATAAAAAACTCGCACGACATTCCGTAATATTCTGCATGACTTCTAAAAACGTGCTTTTGGATTTAAGTCATTGAATACTGTCATCAAAATTCAATTCAGCTTAAAAACTTTTGCGATTAGATCGAATTCTATATATCATACGACAGATTCAAATTCGATATTGTCTTTGAATCTGAAAATGGATTCAAGTTTCTCGAATTTTCTCGAAATTTCTAATATCAGCCATCATGCTTCCGGATCTCTACGTTACATAAATAATATCAATGATTTTCGGATGATTAGCTAAAAAAATTGATCGCTAGTTTAGGTGTAGTTGATCCAATTATTGCAATAGACCGGTGACCCAACCACAGGGTTCATGCCCAACTTTTGCTTCGTACGATACTGTTCGTTGTCCTGTATTACTGTGTGAAAACATAAACAAAAAAAAAACTGTGAGTAAAATGTAATCACCACTACCTCTATTTTCTTTATCATTTACACATTGGCATTAATGTGCAAACTAAATAAATCTTCGAGACAAAAAAAAAATGAAGAGAAATTTCAAAATCAAGTGATCACGCAAAACAATTGAAGATCTATCCCGATACCATCATTCTATCCTCACTATTCCATTTACTAACAGTCGACTGAGTTCTATGCGATTGTAATATCCCCGTCACTTTGTACATCAAATCAATACTGTATTATTATTGATATTATGTCAGCCAATGTATTGCTAATGATACTGAGTTGAGTTATATATGCATAATTTGAAATTACTAATTCCTGACACAGGTAAGTTACTAAATTAATGGAAACAGATAACTATTATTTATTCAGTATACGAAGTATGCGTATAAAGTTTCGAGAATAAATCATTAAAAAATTTTATTTTGAAAATTAAATAGATGTGAGGCCATCAACTTTAATGTAGTCTTGAGACTGCATACACGCATCCCAGCGTCGAATCCATTGATCGTGACATTTCTGGTATTGAATTTTTGGTAAATATCTGTTTAATATACATTACAAGGTGTGACAATAGAATTCCGAAAATAATTTTGTTTTCGTCAGAGTAGCAATAATCAAAACAATTACATCCATTTTAAAGGAAACAAAATTATTCTCGCAACTTCATTGTCACACCTCGTAATTGTAACGCAAGTATTAAAACAAATACCAGAAATGTTACGATCAATGCATTCTCGAAACTTTATTGTCACGCCTCATAATAATAAATTAAAATCATTAGATCCAATAGAAGAAAAGACTGTAGAAAATACTGTAAATGATTCGAATTCTGTACAATACATATCACAAAATTTTCAACGGACCATTTGTTTCTGTCTGATAAAAAAAGACCGGGTTATATACAACTCAACCCAAATATAAAAAGGTTAAATCAGTGATTAGTTTTTCAATGTTATAAAAGTAAATGTAGAACATCTAATTGAAAGAATTAACTAATACTAAAATGAAAACACATGTATCTGAAAGAAAACAACAAGAAAGAAAGAAAAATGTTTCGTTAATAAGAGGAAGTTTTTTTGTCGTGCGCACGGGTTGCCTCGAGCGCGTCAAAACAAACGAGGTAGGTATCGAATTACGTCCCTGAGCATCCGTCCATTTCGTACTTGAAAATCATTGAGAGATGCTTCACGTCAGAAAGTAAATACAATAGAAATGTGAACCGTTCACAAGTCAAACTTTAGTTTTAGAATTTTTTCAAATTTTAGTGCCAGAACACTTGATTGACGTTTAACTTTTTATATTTAAAATAAATTTTAAATACAGATTATACAAAATGAACGGCTCATGTAATATATTTTGTAGTTTGACTTACCACAGTTTCGGAACGTATTGGTGACGAAATGATACATTTTTGTGCACGCGTCAATAATTGCTGTTTGTTCCGTGGGCATCGGTTGTCCGGGATATTCGAAGAGAAGTAGTGAATCTTTGAAAATATCAATCTACGGAAACGCAAAATATACGTAGCCAATAAAGTTCGACAATAAGTTAGCCTTTAAAAAAAAAAGTGAATGTTTGAACGCTTACTTTGCACATAAAATTCGATGAACCTGTCACGCGCATACAGGTGAAGACGCATGATGCACTGAACGTTTCCTTAACAAAATTCTGCACAGCGGTCATATGTACCGATGACTCATCGGTTACTTCATTACCGTTCAAATCAACGGTTGGCTTATGATTGTGCGACGGTTTATGATTGTGCTTCTTCGTTGAGGTATGCTTTCCGCGGTTTTGATCGGGATTTTTCACATTCGAATTTGCTACCGCTTCGTTAATACATCGCTGTCTTTCTAAAATTTTCGAGGCTCCGATTGGCTTTGCCCAAGTAATTTCCCAGCCCTCGACCTGAGCTACGCCGTTAGGTCCTAATTGTTTTTTAGACAAAGTAATTCGGTTTCAAATAAAGAAAGAACGGTATGCATAAGGTAATTAATTAAGGAATTTTATAATTAATACATACTCGTCATAATATTCATTACGGTTTGGGCCGCCCTACGATTTTCATAATGGATGAACGCAAAATGATTAATTTTTTTCAACTTCAACACAGGGATTTTCGTGGTCTTCTGAAATATTTCTCGAATTTTCTGTTGCGGTATGTCCAAAGATAAGTTTCGCACGAAAAGAGCGGTAACCTGAGAAGGGAGAAAAAGGGCGATAACGATTTCCACAAATTCAATGGTGAAATACGAATTTATAATAATAAATAGATTGCTATACTTTGAACAAATGACAATTTTAATGAGATTTATTTTCAGTGCAACAGAGCCCTTAAAAGCGGAAGGGTCATTATACAGAGTAACTGAAAATATTGTATCATTTTTATTTCCTATTACAAGAATTTAACGATATATTTGAAAGTTCTGATTGAACAATGATTTCTCGAATAACTGTATAAATATTGGTGGGAAATGTCGAGTTTGATTAGTGTCTTTTACATGTAACGTATGATTTGGGAAACAAGAAACACTGAGAGTGCAATCAATATTCATACAATTATCTGAGAAATTATTATTCAAACAGATATTTCAAATACATATGTCGTTGAATTCGTCTTGAAGTAGTCAATGACACGGTAATAATAAAGATATGTATATAGTTCCATTTTAAAAAAATTACATTGTTATTAAAGTTTCTGTAAATAACAATTTAAAAAAAATTCAAATATTCTATTAAGTTTGAAATCAAATAACTTTCATATTTAACTATTGAAAACGCGAAAAAATGTTTGAGAAATACTAGCGTGTATAGACTTACACAGGACATACTCTGTATATATGTACATAAAAATGTATATATAATTATAACTTTTAAAATAAAAAAGAATACGCAGTAAAGATTCTAGTTTTTGAAAATCTCGTATTTTTTAATAAACGTTAAAACCTCACAGTTTCCATGATCTCCTCGTCAATAGGATCGCCAGGCTCAGGATCAGCCCAATCAACCGCAATTTCATGGTTCCAAAGCATAACTTTTCCGGGGATTAACTTTCGTCTAGCCATCGCGGCGGCTCGGTGGTCTCTAAACTCCACGAAAATGAATCCACGATTTTGCGTCTTGTCTTGAGCATTCGGATACAGATAGATATCAATAATACCCTCGAGTAATTTATTCAGTTCTTCCAAAAATTCTTCCTTACACTTGTTTTTCGGTACACCGCCGAAAAATAACCGACAATTATCAACTGATTTAACAACACCGATGCGATGACCCGGTCTGATCTCGTAACAGTCAAGTTTTGCGCAAGCGTTTCTGGCAGTTTTCGAATCTTCGAATAACGCGAACGCATAACCACGAGTCGATCCAGAAAAGTCGAGCATCAATCGAAGTTCCATCAAACGACCGACACCTTCTAGAAGTGGCATCAATTCATCCTCGTAACAATCGCGGGGTAAACGTCCTAAGAAAATTTCAGCACCTTTTACGCGTTGTTTCTCGCCGCGAACAATCTCTGGGGCGGTTAACCGACGTTGTCCATTTTCTTGTACTAATTCGTATTTCGTTTTTCGTAACATTTCAAGTAATCGAATAGTTAACTGACACTCGTCCGGGGTACCGTCTTCCGACTGGATATGTATTTTCTTTAAGAAATCCATCTCGAGGTATGCGATCACCACGAAATCGATAAAGCAACTGGCAACCGATCTAGCCTTCCTTCTATTACCCCTACTCGCCACGAAACCGAACAGAATTCGTCGAAATATGCGAAGCCCCCCAACGTCGGATGGACCAATCACAGTTATCGAGTGTCACTCTCGATCTACCTTGTCTTCGGTTAAACGGAGATAGCAAACGTTCCGTGACTTTTCGCTTGGATGTAAAATAAGCAACTGAGAGGGGCACGTGCGACGTACGACCCGTATTAGGTTTCACATTGTCCTCGAAGGGATCGCCTGTAGAGAGAAATAACTGTGAAGTATGTATATATTTATCATGCATTTTAGCTGAAAGAATATCGCGCGGTGGTAGGTACAATTTAGACTATTAAAGTTGAACTACGAGTTTTGTACAATTAAGCAAAACATAATGAAATTTCGGTAAAGTTTAATACAAATATTACTTACTTCTTGACTTAGTAAACTCATTGTCCTAACAAGTTCTTATGCAATAATTGAATGATTTCATAAGTCAGTTCATAGAACTGTGCATCTGTACGAAAATATGCAATGTAATTATAATATATAAAAGATAGGACATTTAAACGGGAATACTTAAATATCTCAGTTGTTTGGTAATGTGTAAAACCACCGACTAGGTATAGAATAGACCTATCATGCAATGCTTTTTCCTGTCGCACGTTCGGAGGGCTACGTAGTGCTACGTAGGTAACGTGATATAAGAATCTTAATATGCACAATCAATTACCTCCTGGCAATTGGTGAGGGAATAATTAAATAATGAACTTCGACCTAACTAGAGGTCAGTTAGTCGAGCTTTCTCCATAAAGAATAGTTTTTATCTATTATTTAACTGGTAATATCAGTCAGATTGTATTTCATAAACTTTTCCACCATTGTCATATTGACAGGATATATTTATCATAGATGGCGTTCGAGAACCATTGGATGAATGAAAATTTCGAGAAAACGGCAGCACAATTAATATTTCCCATCTAAACCGAATTGAAATGTCACATTTTCGGGGGTAGTGTATGCCTCTTTGTTTCCCTTTTATGATAGTCATTCCCGTCTGAATTAATCTTGGATGCATATAAGAAAAATATATTGAAATATAATTCGGCAGTAGATATTCTATTTCGTTTAAATATTTAGCGGGAGGAAGAGGGAGGGGACCAATCCTCGCATTCCTCACAACTGAACCACCAATCACGAGCATCGGAACATACCCGAATTAACCAATCATAGCCAGTCATGAACATCTAACTGTCATTCGTCTCAGGGAAGGTGGAGTGACTAGACGTGAAATGATCTCACTCGTGGCGAAGTAAGTATTATTACTTTCCACTTCAAATTATTTATGCTGTATCTTCGTTAACACTCTATTGTTACTTTCGTTTAATATCTATTCAATTCAGTGTAAATAATCGTAAATTAACTCGGTATTGCTGCATAAAGTAAACCGGTTTCACAGTTTCTGTTCTCCCCCCGATACCACTTAGAATTTAGGCAGTTTTTGTTCAATTTTCAATCTTCGGCAACATTTTTCGAGTCAATAATTGTTTCGTTGTGACTCAGTCCTTGTTAATTTAGTATAACTGCTTCGTATTAACGTTTATTTTCTGTTTCAGAATTCCGGCTAGAAAGAACGCGCCACCGATGAGGTGCCAGTGGACTCTCCCATTAAAGGCAATTCGGCGGGAAGTCGGTGAATTTTGGTGACGTATTATAACAAAATAAGTTACACTACACTTCATATTTCTATTTTATTGCATTTTTATTGTTTTCGCCGTAAACACGATCGTGATTTTGTTATTACCCATGCTAAAATCGAACAAGAATTCTATCGAGAAATATTTTACATTTAAGCGCGTAATTGAAGCATTCAATATGGCTTCCTTGACCGTTAGTAAATTTTTAACGAAAATGCTTCCAGAGGTTTCTATTCGAAATACTCTACTTTACTGCATCTCGGTCGCGAAATTGTTTCAATTTTAATCATTTTAAGAGTTTATCTTTACGAAGTTATTGCATTTGTATACGGTTTCGGATGTAAATTTAATTATATAGAAGTTGCATAAGTTTATCAAGCTCATAAAGAGCTTGAATAAATAACGAAATTTTAATACTTGCAACGATTTTCTGAATATTTATCAAATTCGGTATGCGATTGAGACAGAAAGAACGAGTATTGATAAACTCTATATATGATTAACACGTATTTGTGTGTAATAAATATAATATATTAAAAAATTTCAGAATTACTCTGAAATATTTTAGCATTGAATATTTTTGAACTATTACATTTTCGTACAGTTAAATTCACATTTGGAAATTTATCATTGAATGGCAGTATTTTCAGGGTAAACACTTAGTATAATATAAAAATAGAAAGGATAAGCCCGTGCACGCGCGCCGTATTGTATTTCCTTCCCTTTATTTTTTTCAGTGTTTAGTGGCCGCGCGCAAGACAGTCGACTCGAGTTTTTTCTGTTTACACGAAACGAACTGTCTCAGATTACAATCTCACCGGAGATGTCGTTAGGTCCTCGCGAAAGTAGGGTCAGTGTTTGTTGCGTACAATCGATTATTTTCAGAGTTTGGGATACTCTTTGCTTTTTAAATTGCGAAACTAGTAATTTGTTCGCCGGCTGGGATCTTCGGTCGGGATAGTCTTTTATTTACATTTTTGTTCTATTTGAAAGTGCTCGTTCAAAAAAGTAGAGTCAGTGCATCACTGAAGAGGATGTTCTTGGGCGAAGCTTTACAAACAGAGATTGTATCTTTATATTTCGTTACTTACACGGTTCAACTGGAACAGCTAGAATTTTCAGAAGAGGTTATAACGAATTCTGTTTCTTTTTTTACCGATTTTGTCAGATACTGCATAAACGACCACTATCGAGGATCATTATTACACAGTTTATTAGGCGTTCCTGAATTCCATTAATACCATAGAATAAGAAAAATGATCAATTAACGGACTCCAATCACCCGCGCGCTTTTCTCACCGATCGTTCGTTTACTTGTGCGACGTAGCTAGATATAGGGTGGGCTTATACACTTATTTGTATGAACTTTTTTGATCACCTTACTATCTCCGTTATTTGTAGAGATTCCAAAAAAGTTTATTCGCAAAAGTTATTGAGTATTGAAACATTTTATTAAAATAATATTATATGTACCGCGCGCAAAAAAAAATAAAATGCGACACCGTATGTATTCCGTTCCTTCCTTGCTGAGCGACAGAGTGGGGTGCGCGCACGTGTGCGAGGGATATGTTGGAGCGAGGGGCATTCCTAGTGATCAATTAACCAACTCTCAATTATTGGGCTTCTCCTGTAATTCACGAATTCACCGTTCTGATAACGTAGAGGGCAGCAAAATATATCTCTCTGCTTGCACAATCGGTATTTCAGAACATCAGACAAAAAGTCTTTTTTTTATGTTAATCTGTATCTTAATTTAATCTTGTTCTCAGAAAAACAAAATCACTGCAAGTTATTTATAGAATAGAAGAAAAACACCAGATTTTTCTATTCAAATGTTTATTTCGTTCTGAATCTAGTAAAACCCTTAACAGAGAAAACAATATTTTTGTTTTGCATTAAGAAGCTGTAATTAAGAAATGTGACATTTTTCCGGACTTGTTTGGTTAAACTGTAAATCAAGTGTGTTATAATGTATTTATTTCAACGATTTATAAATTTTACGATCAATATATTTCTCGTTAGCATCGTACGCACTTTACATTATAGTAGATTGCATTATTATACGCGGCCATATCCTTTGTGCAGAAGTACAATTTTTCAAATTATCGACTTCTATACATTGTCATTTATCTTCTCGTTCCATGTTTTCCGACGGAATTTCTCGTTTAAGGAAATCTTATTATTCAACGTGTAACTTATAATCACGTGCAAAAGTAAATACTTCATTCATATACACATTAAATATAAACTTCACTTTCAATAATAGTCTCAGAACCTGCCAGTCAGAGACAGTAGCGTTTTCACACGAAAAATAGTCAAAGTTATGTAACCGATTTATTATCAAATGAATAAATGCAACGAGGGCTATACAAAAGAAATGGTATCGTGTACAGAACATCGTAGTAAGCATGATTGAAAATTTCTACAATTAGCGTTCACAGGACCTGCACCATTTCTCGAAAAGGATGGTTTCTTTTTCTTGTTTTTTTTTTTGTACAACTGATTGTTAATTCTATTGATTGTAACGATCATCATAACTCATTAGAACGACGTGTATCGGTACTAAAGCTACCAAGCTATTTTGGAAAACGATACATCACACTCACTCTCGCATTCTCAACAAACAATCGCATCCACTCATCGCATTGTACGCTAAAGACAAATGAAAATGTTAATAGTCCTTCGAATCGAAAGCACATACAGAAGGAGAAAACCAGAGATGGTCAAAATTCTTATCTGAAGAAAAAAATCATAAACAACTGAGGGATGCATTTTGTATCTGATATTATTCGAATTAGAGTAAAAATCCTAATTATACGAAAATTAATCGGTTGAATAAATGTTTGAATCGAACCTTCATCGAGGTTGGCTTCGAAGGAGAGGACACTAACTTGGATCCGATAGCACATAAAACTAAATAGAATTTTTTTTATACTTTGACTGCTCGTTTGATTTTCAAGAAATTTCTATATGATAAGAATTCTCTTTTTAACAACATGAAGACTTTATAAAACAACAGTTGTCACAATCCTTATTTTGAAACCTCATGTACCTGTCTCAAATGTAATTCATTAAACAGGTTATAACAAAATATTCATTTTTAGGTTTAGATCAAAAGATATGTCAATCATATGGTGAGTGAAGTGTGAGTCAGTGTTCAGTATACCTTTGAAAGAAAACATTTATAAAGATATGTCTGCTGGATTTCTAATACTCAGAATTATGTTTTCTACCACATTTCTACCTGTTGTTTTTTTTTTGTTCGAAGATATTTTATAGGTGATTAACACTTTCTACCTATTATTTGAATAAAATCTTGCCCATCTCTGGAAGAGAAACAGCTAATGTTCCCATCGAAATCAATTGCTATTTCAAGACCACTTCCCTCTTTGTGGATCACATTATAAGCGATTCTCACTTTTATACACAAGATGAGGTTCAAGCAGAGCAATGTGGATAGTTCTTAATCTTTATAGGTTAATTGATTTCGTCCCCGTATGTATCAATTCTTACAACATTCGTTTCTATATGTGCTTTCAATCCACGAATTCTCATCGACTCGCTACGTAAATTATAACGGTGTACTTTAGTAACATTACTTCTTTGCTATTACACATTAGGTACCTATGTGTCCGCTCGCTCACAGAGGACAATTTATCAGTGCCGTAGTTTTCTTTTTTTTTTGTACACGTTCATGAGAGAATAAAAACCAGCGTACATGGCACTAAGCAACATCATAGAACACGGATCTAGTAATCTTATTTAAAGTACACTATCCCTTATAGTTACTCCCGATTCAGGGCACAATTAAAATGCTCTTCTCTTTCTTTTTCTTTCTTTTGTAATACATAACAGAATATCCAGGAGAATTACCTAGGACACTTTGCATTCAGATGTTCTCTGCTAAGAATGCTCTTCGGATTAATTTCGAACTTGTGAGACGGTTTCCTTCTACTTAGTAAAATTTCTTTTAAAAAGAATATAAAAATCAAAGTGTGTTAATGCTTATTATTCGAGGAACACGTGATACCGTAATTTTCTCGTTTGTATCATTTGTTGGAACTCGCTCGAACAATAAACATGAACACTAACTTCGTTAGGAATATTTTGAATGTTACGTGTCTAAAATACGCCTAATTAATTATTTCGTTTTAAATATAATACACTATTGATGCACGGTTCTCCTAGACATTCTTTCTTCACTAAACCCACCATTGCATCCGCTGGTGTTCGCTTTGGCTGCAGCAAATTACCTGTGTATGAAAAGTCATTGTGTCAATTGTTACTATATGACATAAATACTTGGTGGTGGATTTCATATTAGAACTTTAGCAACTTTTCAATGTACTACAACAAATGTTAGTCATATATATAATATTATTTCCTCTTTGATATTAATAATATAGGAGACACGTTTTCCTCATTTGACTCTAACACATTATTGCTATTCATTTTATTACAGACAAATTGTCGGAGCATACAAATTTAAAAGTCCTTTGCTTAATAGGGTAAAAGTTATACATTGATCGTAAAAAAGACGGATACGTACCTACATAGTTTAAGAAGTTCAGTTAATTACAGACTTGTAAAGGCACAGGACGAGACGACTAGGAATAATGTTGCCATGGTTAACGTGGCTCCAGATACATCAGCTGATGGTCCTTTAACTGAAAATATAATTATTTGATACAATATACCTTTTTAAACATAAAATTGGTTACTCTGTAATAGATACTCACCGTTTTCAGCTTCTTCGACAATATATTCTGTAAAACAATGGAAAAAACACGGAATTACTTAATCGGTCCTACGCGAGTAATAATATTAAATGTACCATTGAACTAGTTGATTTGTCTTTATCTCTGGGTTGTTAATCCTGATAACCAGCCAGTCGGCCAAACCTGCAAAGCCGAATTTTGTCCAATGCCTGTTATAAAGTTATAGCTACAAGTTCGATGCAAAATTTGCTATAAACAACTTCCACACGTTGGCAGCAACATATGCAGCAAATTGGCTTGCGCAAACCTTGTCTCGGTTTTGCCCTCTGGTGTTGCTGCCTATGTTGCTGCCAATTTGCGGGCAAGTTGTTTATAGCAAATCTTGCATCAAACTTGTAGCCATAACTTTATAACAGGCATTGGACAAAATTTGGCTTTGCAGGTTTGGCTGACTGGAAAAACAGGTAATCGAAAAATACGTTGGTACATCAAGAGTTTGCAATAGCTATTTTCATACCTGTCGTAAATGTGTACGGCTTCGAGGGTTGAGACCATCCGAATTCGTTTCTAGCCAAGAGAATCGCTTCGTACGATTCCGGCTGAAGTCCTTCGATCTCGTGTTTCACTATAAACTGATTGCCCTTGCCGTTCGTTACTGGCGGCTTCAGAGTGATCCATTCGGTAGCTCCTGTAGGACGGTACTCCAGCTGTAAGTATTCGATATGTAACAGGTGTTGATACGCTTTCGTTGAACACGTCCATATGAACACAATTTCAATTACCTTGTATTCGGTGATTGGCGAGTAGCTCTGCAGCCGCCATTTTAGCATTAAACCTCTATCAGTCTTGGTTACCTCACTGCCGAAGATCACTGCTTGTGATGGAGCACCTGAAGAATAACCATTTCGATTGCAACATTTATGTAATTGACCAGTTTTATTTTGCATTTTTGGATAAAATAAAACGAAAGTGAGTAATGTTTTGTGAATCTCCTTAGAACCGTGTCGCCTTCATCTCATCATACATTTTCGAGGAAGATGAGTGAAGTTTTCATTTAAATTTTTGATTAATAGATTGTACAATTGGTAATATACATTCTGTTATAAATCTGCTTTCCGTGAAACAAAACAGTACAAACGGGAAGTTGCATAAATGTTGTGAACTAAGTAAGGGGGACCAAGACGGAAACGACCCGTAGGGTTGTATCTTGTTTACTTACTTCATATTAATTAATTTTCTTTCATTAACGTTTCTGATAAATTACAAATCATCTAAGTCAGATATCGTGTTTGGTCCCAATTTAATCCGACAAATCTCATCGAGCATCTTTTGAGAATTTACTTTCCATGCATGGGTTCTTTCGAAATTTCATTTAACCGAAAATTTACCTCTCTGTGAGCCTACTAAGTGATCCAAGAACTACAACTAAAAATAGAGAAAGAGCATTTATTAAAAATTTACCGGTAAGGGAGAGATCTTTCTCGGACCGTTTCATTCTGTTCTCGGCGACGCACGTGTACTTTCCAAGATCCTTCTGCTTCGTGTGCATGATTTTCAGGGTGTATCGCGGTCTTTCCGACTTCACCTCTATCCTTCCGGTCTCCGGCACGACCTCCTTCCCGTCTCTGTACCAGCGCACCCGCGCAGCAGGGTGCGCGTGAACGATACAGGTCAATTCCGACTCGACTCCGAGCCCGGTGTGCACCGATTCCTTCTTCGCTTCTATTTCAGGAGCATCTACGAAAACAAATACGCGTCGAGATTTGATTTACACGTACGGAACGGTTTAAATATAGAACGGCGGGGGGACCACACCGCAATTTTATGTACAGAGTCCTCTCGATTATTGTCCCGAACTCGGGTCCACGCCGGGACAATAATCTTATAGGGAGAAATGTCCCATCCAGACGCTTGGACAATAATCGCGTAGAACAAGCCAGACAATAATCGAGAGGAGTCTGTATCTAGGACTGGTTTTTCGTGCACTTACAATTGACGACGACCGCGATCACCTCCAAAGGTGGTTTCTGCGAGCCGTCCTCCGCCAGACAATGGTAATGACCGCTGTCGTGCCTGGTCACGTTATGGATCGTCAGGTGGCTGCTGGGCGTTTCGTCGTTACGGATTCGTACGGTCTGCAAATTGGGAAAGAATAAAAATCAATTTATATCTTCTTGAGTACCGTTTTTATCTGACAAGTTTGATTGGCCGCGATTAGACGAGCCCTGACTATGACTAGTTTCCAAGTCGTGGGTCCGTTTCGACCCAGTTCATTGTCGTTTCTCCTAAATGCATTTCTGAACGAATTTCTTCGTGAAGTGGTTTTCTTTTCATTTGAATTAATATAAGCAATTAGTTATCGGAAGTTGTTCGAGTTGGATGAAGTTTTTGAAAAATCGGGTCAAAATTACCCAGTCATCGCCGTCATCCAGAGTTACGCGACTCTGGATTGGCGTTATGTGTGTCTACTGGTAATTCTCAGATATTCATAGTTATTGACTTTTTGTTTAGATACATAGCAAAAACCATATTTTGTTAACACAAACCATATTTCGTACGAAAAGTCGTAAATAAACGTTAAAATTATTGTACATATGCGCTAGGTTCGAGGAGGTGCAAAGATGGAATCATTACGTTTTAGAAATTTTATCTGTATATACTTGTTTGAGCCGCAAAAATGTATTTCAACGGGGAATGATAACGTTACTTTACCTCGTGGTACCATTTTATTTCCGGTGCTGGACGTATCGTCGTTTCGCAGCCGATGTTCAGGGTCTCGCCAGCGTTGACTTCCACCCTCTTACCGGGGATCACGCGGATTGGGGGGTTGTAAGTGTCGACCACAACCTTGTGTTTAATCGTGATGGGCGGATTCTGTAGGATACTGCACTCGTAATCGTCGGAAGTGTCGTTGACCGTTACGTTGTGGATCACCAGGGTATTGTTTGGCAGTCGAACAATCCTGTTCTTGTCTTGCGTCATTGCGATCGAGTCGTAGTATAAATTTTCATCGTTTCGTTTCCACGTGACCGCGAGATTGTCTGAAACACCATAAACATGATGATCGCATTTTTCAGAATATATTCTGATTAGGTCTAATTTAATCAAGTTAATACCTATAATTACGTTTGAACCTTACGAAAATTTTGAGAATATTTTTTTTTTATTTATTTAAATGAGATTTTGACCTGTAAATGGTTAATTGACCATGTGAATATCCTTTAATCTTTCTTTAAGAAAATGACTACTTCTCTTATTTAAAATGAAAAGAGAAACAATATTATTTGATGTACGATCAGATAGTATGTTAGTTTGTAAAAATTGTAGAGAAGAAATAGCCTTACTCTATAGATTATTTATAATCACGAAAACAAAGTCGATGCTGTTTGTCAACAAATTAGAAAGAAGAAAAATGCAGGACAATTGGTAGACAATTGGTAGAAGTGAATAGACGTATTGGTAGAAAATAAATGGCCGTTTAAAGATGTTATATTTGCAATAATCGTAAAACATGTAAAATTTTCAGTATTAGTGATTCTATTCTATACAATAATACAGAACATTTCGAACCATCTGTGGAAAGTAGATACACAGAAATATAACACCAAAGATATGAATAGTGATGGGTCATTTATTTCCCACCCACCTAACATCCATTAGTATTCGGCCGTGAGCGTTTAATCTAATCAACAAGCACCTATTTCAGGTTATTTTTAAAAAGTTTCGTGCATTATTTTAACTACCGCTTTGAGAAAAATATCTCCAATTACATAAAAACAAATACAGTATCTACACTAATATACTAGATGTACCATGAGCAATACACTATTACTTGTCAAATGCGGTACTTATTTTTACGACAATTGTAGGCCTGTGTTTTCTCAGTAATACTCATTCTCGTCCTCCAATATCGTCCGTCATTTTTGAAAATGAAAGCAGCGGGAAGAGATTACGAATTCAAACTGTTTTCAATTTTGTGAAAATAATAGCGAATTATTTACTGGTTGAACTAATATACTATTAGAATCTATTATGTTGTAGAATAATAAATGTCATTTTTAAATGGTAGTATTTGAATTAATATGACTTATTTTGAAACAAATATTTTTAATCGAAATAAGCATCATCCGAATCGATACACTATTCCCAAACGAGTTCCAAGCCTCTCGATCCCATGCTTAACAATTTTAAGATGACTGAAATGAAACGAATTGGAAAATGACACTCATTATGTAACAATCTAATAATACTTATTTTCCCACTTCTAACGTTGTAGAGGAACAATAGAATATTCTCATATTTGCTGATTTATTTCCCAGAAACCTAATACACTACTCGAAGCAATTAGGAGATTATTGAGGATAATTTAATGCAGCCGCTATGCGCATCGCTATAACATATAATTTCTAAGAATATCATGTATGAAAACATGTGTTAATATTGTGTTGATATTGTAAACGTGTCAATTCATCACACCCACAGCATGTCTTTTGTTTCTTTCGCTTAGTTTTCGCAACCAAGACCGCCCACACTACTAATCATCTAACTGAGCAAAAGGGAGTTATGCCACAACAGTAGCATTCTGAGATATTAAGGCTTTTATGCAAAATCATACTAAAATAAAAAAAATACACTATGATTGCATACATATACATTGTATATACAAGGTGCCCGGTTATCAGCAAAACATGCAAACTACTGGAAAACTATCCATTGTATGAAAAAATAGTTTAGAAAAGAAGTGAATGATTTTAAAGGGGACATAATCCGTTGTAATTAGTTTTCTTGTAGATGACCAGGTAGATGTCACATGAAGGTGACGTAGTTAAAACAAGACCAAACACGATATAATTTGGATTACATTTACCTATCAATATTGATTAAGTGCTACAAATGATCAATAAGTAAATGTAATCCAAATTATATCGTGTTTGGTATAATTTTACTCAGAAAACCCCCACAAATACTATAGTGGGAGTTTTATGAAAAAAAAAAAAGAAAATAAAAAATTTTCAAAATTTTCCGCGTTGATTCTATATTCAGAATCGCTTGGGCTCCAGTCCCAATTTTCATGTACTAATCCAAATTTTACTGTAAATACGGTAATACGTTTTTTTTGTTAGGGAATCTGGAAGAGAGGTTTCAAATGGACGTTACACTCACCCGTATTTTTCACTAGACAATGCAGCCAAATCGTGCTCCCATTCCTCGCGCGTATGATCTCCGCTTTGGAGACGATTTGAGGCGGTTCCTCGCTGGTCCCGGGATCGTCGTCGTCGTCGACCGTATCGCCGTCGTTGTAGTCCACGGGCGGGTCGTCGTCGTTGTAATCCTCGCCCTCGGCGCTCTTAGCCGGTTTACACCAGGCTGAAACAAAAGGACCACGTTGCGCGTTAATTAGCGACCGTAACACGGGAGAAAACACGATTCTCTATCGGTGGTCACGCGTTTCATTGAACCCGTGCGCGCGGCGTTCACTTTCCGCAGAACTCGAATTCACCGGTGTCCCGACGTCAGGCCCTGACTTTCGCACGGTTCATTAGCAGAGAAACCGAGAAAGTGTGGAATTTCTGTCGATCGAATATACACGGCTAATCCGCGATATAGGAGGATCATTAAAGAGGATTCAATTAACCCTTTGCCTATTCACATCGAGAATCAGACTCGTGGTGACGATTTCAATATGGGATTCAATAACCGTGAATACGATTCGGTTTCTTGCGAGTCGAAGTCAAACGCTATTTCACTGGCATTAAATTTGGGATTAAATGTATATTCGCGACAAGTATAGAATTCCTTGAGTTTCTGTGGAACTAATAATAAGAAAGTAGTTCTGGGGTAATTATAAATTGAAGTTTGTTTCAGGTAAAGTATTGACCCTCTAATGGTAAGGTCCGGGTTGAATCCGGCACAAGTTATAGTTCTTCTTGTACTGTGCCCCATTTTACTTCTTTATTATTTTTTTATCGTTATCGTTTTAAAATATTATTTATTACTTGGTAAACAGTTCATACTTATATTATTGCATGTTACATAACTCAATTTATTATTCCTTATTATACAAATAGGCGAAAATACAAGTTCAAGATAATAACTATATTTCTACCGGTCTGAAAATAGCAAAAAGGAGGTCAGGTCGGATCCGACCCACCTTACCATTCGAGGATTAAGAATGTTGGGATTGGATAGTCCGGAAATAATTACATAGTTTCTTTCTGTTGGGAGAGCTGATACAGTAAACGCCACGATAACTGCCCGTTGGATAAATATCCGTTACGATTGCTCGTAGGATTGAACTATCTTAATTCTTATTCAGTCACTCTGCCGTTTAGATCTCCGTTACGAATAAAAACTTCTTGTTAAAATTTTATTTTAAAAGTTTTGTACACATTCCATTACCTGGAATACAACAGTATTTTCTCTGAATATGGTTTCTCTCCTTTTAATCGTTATTTGTCAAGTTTTCGTGTGATTAAACAATCCATCGGTTACAACTTAATTATTCGCTTATCTGAAATCTTATTCCACCTCAAAAACAGTGTTTGTTCGCGATTCAACTGGTATCCACACATCCTCTCAACTCCTCGACATTGGTACTCCTTACTACAAGCGATCCGAAATGATCCTCGAAAAGAGGGGTGCAACCGTAGTTGAAATTAGATTTCTAGTACACGACGTGCGCTTAATTTCAGGGCAGCGTATGTAAGCACATCGTTTTCTAATAATACGCGACGGCTCCCATACCGGCCTATTCAACAATGCTTTTCCCGCGTGCGCCAGTCGAGCAACGTGGAACAAAGGAAGAATGCGCGCGGGGGCGAAACGGTAGAACGAACGAAATAAGAGGTCCACACCCTTCGGGCCGCGTGTCTACGCCCAGTTTACCCCATTTTCAGGCGCGTCGACCTCCGTCGTGTCCAGCCGATTATATATCGCCGTTCGATTTTAACCAGCAGCCGCGCCCTTATTAGCGAAAAAATATGGATCGTTCCGGTCGCCCTCGGACAACCCACTTGTCACCGGGGCGCCCCGCGCTCCCTCTTGCCACGCTCGTCCCGACATTCTGATTTCATTATGGACTCTGGTTAAGATACGGTCGATTTCGGATTAATTTAACCTTTCCCCCCATTGTGAAACGAGCCCTACAATTCTACGACACACGCTATTTTTCGAAAGTGCACTGGTACGCACCCCATTTGGTCAGGTGGTGGCACGATTCGACCCAGATTGGATTATCGCAGGTTACGCGAGAAAGAGAGAGAGAAACGTTGTCGACGCTCGAAATCTGGAGTATCCTTTATTACAACCCCCTTGTGAATTTATACTGGTCAGAAGGGTGGGGATCCGGTTCGGTCGGATACGAAAGGATTTTCAGATTTAGAACGAGCTTCTGATAAGGCAAATTTAAAAGCTGGACTGAATTACTCGTTCGCTTTGAAACGGTGACCCTCAACCCTTTATTTTATGCCGATAACATTCGTCCGTTAACGGGATTACTTTCTGCGCGGTACGTTGGAAGGATGTCGAGGTATGTACAGGGCGGTTCTGCAGTGGGGAGTTGAACTTTCGGTGTATTTTACTTGGAAAAAGATCGTGATACAGGGTGGTTTTTAAATGAAATAAATAAATAAGTCGAACATTTGGTGTATTTTGTATTAGGACACTTGTAGAATATGCTGTAAATGTTAGAAAGCACTACAAAATTTCTAAAACTTTGAAATAGATATTGTTTAGGGGATATCGAAGCTTGATGGACAATGTTTATGCTGCTATCAAGTAATAAATGTTGCCCAACATATATAATATTCTTCGTCCTAATACTTATACTAGTTGTCTTAATACTATCCCCTTACTGTGGAGATACAAGGTTATTCTGAAGTAGGGGGTCGCATTTTACAGTACATTTGAATTGAATTAAGCGCTACAGGTTCTAATATAGGGTATGAAACCCTAGGTATATTTTACTTACAAAGATATCAAGATACATTGTGATTTTATAATGGGTGATCAAACTTATATATTTCAGAAACTGTTCAAAAACCCATAGAGACTTCATCCTAGATCTTTCATTCTGTTACATAAAGAATTAAAGGGACCAAATTTGTAGAAAAAGAAATTCAGTATTGATAGCAACGAAATTTATTCCTCGACCCTCTTTAACTTTGACGCAATTTGAAAAATGAAAATTTACTCCGCCTCAAGAGCTTCATTTCACCTTGGACGCACCGTGGAGAGATCGAAATTCACTGTATTTTACTTCACGTTGGAATATTTTGACCGTCATTAAGACTTTTTCGAGAGGAGTGAAAATATTTACTCGCTGCTCGGATCGGGTAGGAGCATTAGCACTCAGTCGAATAAGAGGTATGATTAAACCGAGAATGACCCATGAATCTAGGTTAATGGCTGACCACCGCGTGCCGGTAGTTCTGTTTTCTACTTAGCTTGCAACCCCTACCGATCGGATGGTCGTGCCACGAGGGCCTCCCTTAGCAACGACCTAGAAAGACGCCACGATGTCCCGTTGCTCAATTTACGCCCACCATGGACGTTCACGGGGTTCTGTTCCGTCGTGCTCGCGTGTCGAATTGAAATTGAGTTTCCCTGGGATGCTTGCTTCACGGCTTCGACCGCGGAAATTGAACGTAATGCTTCGCGGAATTACGGGCACGTTGTCCGGCCCGATGACTTCGAATTGATTTCGAGTGTCTGTTAGGTGCGCCAAAGAGAATTCCTACCTCTTTCACTAATGAAGAAATATACCTCATGTGTATAATATCTGTACGTCGGAAGTTTTTGTCAACCAGACTACAGGTACGAGGAATAGATGTTTTATTAAACGTGTACCGAGAAAGTAAAGTTCTTTGGTCTTTGGAAGAATTGGCTAATCGAAAAACAATGGTGTCAACTTACAGAACATTTATATTTCAGAGCTAAATTAACCCCATTTTTTTTTTAAATTTACTTATACTTTATTTACTTATATTTAATGAAATGATATATAAAATTTATTTAATAAATTATAATGAACTAGAATTTTGTAGGCATAATAGATTTTTCGAGAGAATCAGTTATGTTTCTTTGTTTGTAGCAAGTCTTCCAAAGGACAGGATTTACATCCTAAATTCCCAACAGTAATACCTGGACAGCATATTTTATGCATTTATAGCATACAGAAACTTCGATCGAGTTTAGTAAACTTTTTATTTTATATTTATTCCTCTAAAATCTCTGAAATAAGAAAAGACTGTCTGTTACTCCCGTCTTCACAAACTACCTCATAAAATGACATTCTGCATAAAGATCCACCAGCCTAGTAACAACTACCCAACAGTGTTGATATTATTCCCTCCTAACTAACTGTACACGTTACCCACGAAAAAAAAATTCCATAAATGTTTTTAACTCGGTAACGTCCTTTTGGACCACTCTTGATTCCAAACAGATGTTCAAATAAAACAGGTTCAACCCAAACGACCCAAGAGCACAGTTCCCAACTAACGCGCAACGCTCGAACAGCAGCGTGCCTAGTGTCATTACATATTGCGTTCCTACAACCGTAGAGGCATTTAAAACGAATTTACCAAACCGATCCTTACCGATGAACACTCTCGAGGAGCCTCCTTCAGAGGCATCTAAAGTTACGAGCGCATTAAATCTACCGATTTCTCATCTCCCAACAGTCCCATTTCGCTGGACAAAGGGGAAGGGGGCGGTCGGGCGGGCGAGGGGGCATCTGAAAGCCGATCTATACATCCGGCGTTCAAGGTGAATGGGGAAGGAGACTCGCGGCAATACGCAATGCATCATAAACCAGGCATCCGAGTAAATGCAATAAAGGTGCTCGCGGGGACGCAAAGAAAACTTCGCGTTCTTCGATCGGGGAGGTCTTGCGAAACGGAAAAGAGAAAAGAGAGAAGAAGAAAAAACAAAATCTCGTGTGACTCTCATCCTTCGTGTTCGTATCCCTTCGCCGTGGTTCGCGGTCGCGGGGTGTCTGCATTGGGGATTCAGACGGCGCGCCAACGTACACGAAAGAATAACGGACGTGCTTGAAAACCGCAAAACCGTTTTGCATTAGGCGCACGCGTTACCGGCTGGTGATGTCATCCTGGCCGCTATGCCCAAAAAAAAGAGTACCCCACCTCTGGTTCATGCTCGCGATTCATAACCACTTCTACAGTAACAGGAACTACCGAAGACTAAAAAAGACATTGGCCAATCGAACTCGAATGAGGGATTAGAGATCCCTTCGCTGGTAGTGCCCTTATCAAGGCGCTGATTGTGTGGGGTGTGTGGAGTATTTCACACTTGGGATTTTAATTGTGTGTGGAAATTCCACCTTTGGAAATTTTGGCATTTTACCA